TTTTTAATTTTTGGTCCACTTAAAGTACCTTACAGGTATGATGTATGATCTATAGAGTTGCTACACGAAGAAATCGGTTCAGCGGTTTACGAGATATCGTGGGTCCAGACACAAAAAAATAAATAAAAACACATCATTGAAAAAACAATACCTTCTCAGCTCCGCGTCGAAGCTAAAATAATCTATACTTATTCTCCTAAGATACCTAATAACGACCGAAAAATAACAAATTTTCAAATCACATAATTTATTTTTTTACACAGCATGACAATTATTAGATAGGTTATAACAATACAAATTCATTTTATATATATTAACACATTTTACATTTTATACAATTTTAATAAAGTTTAAAGTACAACATCACACAGTCACAAATACAACATAATTAAACAATTGAAAATATTAAATACAAATCATAAATACACAAATCATATTTATAGCACGAGACATTATACAAGGTTAACATGGGTATAAGAAATTAAAGACACACCAATGTCGATCCGGGAATACTTAAGTTTAATTTAATATGTAGTGTTAAGTTAATCTTAAGTCCAAGTCTGTAGGACTAGGACATCCGGATATCGACAGCTTTGGCGGCCACGTAACAGACTGTGGTGGACTTATACACCAATGTCGACCCGGGAACACTTAAGTTTAACTTAATATGTAGTATTAAGTTAATCTTAAGTCCAAGTTTGTAGGACTAGGACATCCGGATATCGACAGCTTGGGCGGCTACGTAACAGACTGTGGTGGACTTATACACCAATGTCGACCCGGGAACACTTAAGTTTAACTTAATACTACATACTAGGACATCCGGATATCGACAGCTTGGGCGGCCGCGTAACAGACTATGGTGGACTTATACATCTAAGTAGAAAACAATATAAAGTTGGTAGACCATATAAAATAGGGTACTACCTCAATAGTACAACTCATAGTGACCTTCTATGGAATTTATTTCGCCTTATCGCCGGACTTTGCAGCAGCATTCCGCTTGCGACATATCTTTGACAAAGCGTCAACTTCTTTTTGTAGCGTTTGGACTTTACTCGTTAACATTTCCGCATTCCTATTGTAAACTTTTTTATCAGAGTCCATTTTTTTGCGCAGCTCAGTTTCGGCGGCGAAACGTTTTGCTCTCAGATCGAAAATCTATCAACAAAAAAAAAATTCAGGATGGAATCTCCCTCGTTCGTCCGAGTCCTACCGGAGCGCTGCAAATTTCTACTTACCAATTTGTCTTTGGTCAAAATTTGCGCATCTTTTTGCTTCGACGACTGTTGCATCTTAGCTATTTGTTCTCTGAGTTCAGTAACGATAGCCGTGCAGGGAGCATGCGGGTCGACGGATTTATGTATTTTAAACGGCGGCGGAAGCGAAAAATCCGGTACACCGTCGTCGTCAGATCTGCAAACATATGAGAAAAACCAAATAATTTTTATAATAATTTTCCGAGTTGACCATCATCAACCGACCTTCCACGTTTTCCGGATAACGCTGGCTTCTCTTCAGCGAGGTGTCCCTCGAAAGACTTGATGTCACTCATTTTTATTACAGGTAAAAATGAAAAAACAAAGAATAACCAATTTATATAAATATTATGCGAACAATTTATGATATGTGAAAACACAACCAAGATTAATTGAGTTGCTTAATATGTAACAAACCGTGGTTTCTATGATACCGGCGCCTTGACGATCCGAATAATGACAATAATTTGATTACAATAATTGTAAATATATACAAAATATACATCTAATCGTAGGTAAACATTCTATCCCTTCTAGGGGAAAGGGTTTATGATATTTTGTTGGTTTGTTAATGTTTATCGATAGTACTATGTTTGAAGAACAACTCATATAAATTTGGAACATTTTCGACTGTTTTCAAAAAAAGTTATAGAGCATAGTAATTTTAAGTTGAAAAATTTGTACATTTTTTAGGGGTTTTTCTCAATTTTGATGGGGAAGGGGTGACTTTTTTTAATTTTTGGCCCTTTAAGTACCTTTCAGGTATGATTTAAGATCTATAGAGTTGCTACACGAAGAAATCGGTTCAGCAGTTTACGAGATATCGTGGGTCCAGACACAAAAATAAAAATCAATAAAATAACACATCATTGTAAAAACAATACCTTCTCAGCTCCGCATCGAAGCTAAAAACACATCATTGTAAAATATACAAAAATGTTTAACTAACCAACAAAAGACTTTTAACGTTTAAGATATACCGTTTTCCAAGATATTTTGATAGTATTATGGTTGAAGTATATCTCATGCAATGTCAGCTACAGTCCCAGCTGTTATTTTTTCAAAATAATTCCAAGTACTCCCCCGCCCCTCTCTGCCTCGTGTAAGTAAAATATATTAAGTAAATTATAATTTTAACTTACCATCCTTTTCACCAAGTGTGTTTAATTATATTTACTTGTTTATTTTATTAGTCGTCTCTCGTTCAATGCATAGTACAGAAGGCCTAGACATCTAACTTGTGACAACACTAAGTGAATTTAGCTACGGATGCGTCGCATGAATAGGACCTATTACAATATACACTTCTAATTGGTATAGAGTAAGCTAAATTGGACATTTTATGCAAATAAAGAAATATAAATTGCTCAACGACTACCTTGAAAGGATTGAATGCAGGAATGCATGTTATGGAAGTCGATTGTTGAATAACTGTTTCGTTTATTTCGAAAAGACAAATTCGAGAAAATAAAATAAGATTTAAACACAATTTTAAATGAAATATCATCAGTCAATTTCTACATTAACCTAGAAAGTGCCCGATAAACTCAAGTATTTTTGAAATCTAACCATTGTTAGATTTACCTAACAAAGTTAATGTAACTATGTCAGGCTTTTAGGTCCAAAACGTCCAACAAATAGGATATTTACCCCCTTAAGTTGGCTCAAAACCTATTCACTGGAATCAAATTTTTACAACAGTTTTTGGCCACCATAAGTTCTGACCTATGAGCATATTTTTCTTCAGTGTCTAATAAGTAAGCATGATGTTCGCAATGCACGTTCAATCAAGATTGTCAATACATTATATTCACTTCAAAATATCAATTTTTATCATAACCCTTTTTTGTGACGTACGAAAACCACTAAAAAATAAAACATTTTTTTAAATTAACTTTGAAGTTTTCTTATAGAATAAGGCAATTTTTTTTTCATGTGGCCTTTAAGTGTTTGGGGAGGGTATTCTAGAGATGGAGCCTCCCCCCCCCCGTAATTTCACAGTAATAGCAATAATAATAATAATTCCAGCTATTGCCCCTAACCTAACCTAGGTGGTTGTTTTTTAAATTGTTCTCAATTGGCAATATAAAATATAAACCAATATTTTATCGAGCGTTTCAATTGAAAATCTATTCATTTGCTGTTGAAACGAAATTGTTATTGTATTTTCTACTATTGTTTTCGCTGTAACCGTTCTTATTTGTGCAAATGTTTCATATGCGAAAATATTTCACTGACAAACAACTTATTTTTTTTTTATTCCATATAGGTCGGTAATATTAGTTTTTATAACTGTATGCGAATTGTTGTTTTCAACTTTCCACAATATTTTTTCTCATTGAAAATTATTTTTCTGTTCGAATACATTATATAAAACCATTTTTACATGTAATAGATTTACAATATACAGTATACTTTGGTTACATTTACTTTAAGTCTAGTTTTAATTCCTAAAACTACGGTTAGGAAAACAAACAAATAAAGGGAAATGTTCAGCCACTTTTATGGAAAAAGATTAATTGATCCCACTTTTTTCCAAAACAGAATACAAATATGCTTTGCTTAAAAGTCCATTTAATAGAATCTAAGTCAGCGCTTAATTAACAAAATTTAATATATAATATATAGATATATATATATTATATATATATTATTTTTTTTTTTTTAAAGCTCAGAGCGTATTAGGGGGCGATCACAAGTATTCCAAAACTATAATAATTGAATGTCTTAAATCAATAAACTTCAAAAATAGTTATTATTTTTTCTCTTATTTTCCACGCCAAATCTACACTACTTTCGCATATTAATTACACAAAATAACAATTATTAGTTTTTGTGCCGTAAAAGTTGTATAAAATCACCTGTTGTAAAAAATATAGCTTATAAGCACATAGCTAACAGTTACTGTAATATAATGAAATTAATAGCTCTGAATTCCTATTCTTGATATCCTTTTACATTGCTTTCCTATTGTTCCAGACATTACACAGATTCCAAAGTTTGTATAATAATAAAGAGTAATAAAGTAATGTTCTGAATAGACTGTCTTTTTTTTTACATTAATTTGTTAAAAAAAATTACTTTTTATTTTTATAATACGAAATGTATAAAAAAAAAAACACAAATCTATATTATAATAATTTGCACATGGTATGTAACAATTTATCCTACATGGGGACAAGTTGTACCATTTTGACTTGGTAACTAAAACATTTTCTTTTCTTTGTTATTAAATATTTGAACATATAAATTTTTTAGCTATAAAGTTATCATTTAGAAAAAATTAAAGATATCAAAGTTGTATCAACTAACTAAGGGGGAGAAAAGTAGCCTCCTTACTAAATTCAAGTGAACTGCTTCATTTTACCATGATTTAGAAATAAGTAGACTATATTCTGTAAATTTTGTGGCAAATCTACAGTTGAAGAAATCAAACTTTTAGCTGGTCAAAGATTTAAAAAAAAAAAAACGGTATTTTTTTGAGTTATATTAACCATGAGGTTACAGAATACAATAATCATTGAGTACTGAGCAGATAGGAGCTGATAACATTTAGATAACTATTTTCCTTTAAGTACACTTTGTACATAACAATGGTACAACTATTGAAAAGTTGCTCAAATTTGTCCCGTTTTAAATTACTAATAAAATTATAGTAATTTGTATTTTTTCTTATAAATAAAAATAATATTACACATAATGTACATAAGTAATCAATGTTTATTTGAAAAGAAGCAGCGATTTTGGAGTCATCAAAGTCGTTAACACTTGTTGTATTATGAAACATTGTCTAAAAAATATTATATCATTATCAGACATTGTCATATTGAAAATTATTTTATGTTATTGTGAATATTGTTATTGTCAATAAATGTTTCAGCTTCAATTTTCAGTTCGGCTTCATTTATCTGTTCAGGTTCGTTTTTCTCTTTAGGTGCATCTGAACCTGAAGCTTCAGGTCGATCCGGTTCCATACAGGTAGCATCTAAAGATAAACGATTAAATAATAATATAGATAACTAAACTTAAAGTATAAACTTATTATTTTTTTTTTTTAATATTAATAGCCATTTTATTAAGAATAATTTGCTGAATTGACCAGTCAAAATTCACAGCAAATTGTTCTTAACGAAATAGTCATCTTGAATGTAAAAAAATAATTTTGAAAAGTAAATCAGTTAAGTGTCATAAAAAACGTGGTGCTTGTGGGGCAAATGAGTGTGGGCTTTTTGTATTACCAAATGGGATTTGAAACAATTGTGGACAATTTTAAATTCAATTTTTTAATAAATAGTATATAATTGGAAACTATAGCACAGTGGTAACAATTATATTATTGAATTTTGTTTTTGTTAATATCTTATCGTATTTTTAGACCACAAATATTTAATAAAACTAAGAGACAAAAAATTATTTTTACCATCTTTAAATGTTCCAGCTTCAATTTTCTCTTTAGGTGCATCTGAACCTGAAGTTTCAGGTCGATCCGGTCCCATACAGGTAGCATCTAGAATAAAAAATTAAATAATAATATAGATAACTAAACTTAAAGTATAAACTTATTTTTTTTTTTTAATATTAATAGCCATTTTGTTAAGAATAATTTGCTGAATTGACCAGTCAAAATTCTCAGCAAATTGTTCTTAGCGAAATAGTCATCTTGAATGTAAAAAAATAATCTTGAAAAGTACAGTATATAGTAAAGTATAGCACAGTGGTAACAAGTATATTATTCAAGTTTTTGAAGACCTCAAATATTTAATAAAACTGCGTGGCAAACAAAATTATTTTTACCATCTTTAAATGGTTCGGCTTCAATTTTCAGTTCGGCTTCATTTATCTGTTGAGGTTCGTTTTTCTCTCCAGATACAGCTGAATATGTGAATCAGAGATATATTAAGGGGATTGCATGCGGTCAGTTTTTTCAGTCAAAACACATCATTTTTATTCCATTGCACAGACCGAACCAGTGATCCGATAAGCAATCTAAAAACAGATTTGAGTTTGCCATGAAGTTTACTTATGATCGGTCAGGGTACTTTTCTCAATTTTTAATTTTAACCTTTTCCAATTTTGATTTTAAAATTTGAAATTTTATATAATGTTCAAACGTGTTTTGTACATAGTAGGAATTAGATATCAAAAAAAATATCCTGACCGATCATAAGTAAACTTCATGACGAATTCAAATCTGTTTTCAGATTACTTATCGGATCAGCATGTGCGATGGAACAAAAAATGTATGAGCAAGATGGTTTTTACTCATAGACAAAATAATTGAATTTAAAAATAATACCATGAAGCTTATACAAATAAACCGGTAAATTAATTGACGTGATCGAAATTTAATAAAACCGCTTTTTTCTTAAATATTGCCTATACAAAACTCCTTAAAAACCAACAGCATGCAATCCCCTTAATTAAATAAATTAGTATCCGTGCTATATTTTTTTAAGTATTTTATTAAATATTTAAATTTATTTATTTTGTTTTTTTCCTAACCCACAACTAAGTTCTATATTTTAATTACCATGCTTCGAAGTATTGTTGCCACACCTGAAAAGTAAACGTTTCAATGTATATTTTACACGTAAAAACATTAGATTTGATTATATTTTTTTTTTTTTATATAAAAAATTTTAAACCAAAAATAATGTTTAAAAAAAAATACTTACAAAACATACGCTGCTACACTGAGTAAAAGAAAAATCTCGATAATATACATCATTGTATTTAAAATGATACAGGTAAAATATTCAACTGTTATAATGTACTATTTAACTGGGCTGTAATATCACACTATGGTGTTACTGTGGTATTCTTAATTTAACTGTGATTCTACAATTTGACATAATTCATTTCGCGTTTGTTTGCATGAACAACAATAAATTATTATAATTATTTTGCGGTGTAGTCGAAATAATATGTCTTTTGTGAACAGTTTTTTTTTTTATTAAAATCACTGCTTTTTTAAATCATTTCCAACTCATAGCGTGAATTTGCTTTTGTTTGTTTTTTGTGTGAACGTTTGTAAGGTTATACTATCATAAGTTGACGGTTTTTTTTAATCAGATAGGTGTACTTTTTTTAGGATTTGTACACATAGAATATTATATCATAATATGTTTTTTTTCAACTGCTTTATCATTTGACCATTTACATGGTTTTTATACACATAGGTACTATTTTCTACACGATTATTTTTATTAGATTTTGGCAAGTTAAATTATTGACTCTGGAATGGCATATTCACACAATTTTCGGCGTACATGTTCGGTATTGTTTGTTTTTGGATAATATTTCAATGTACACATGCAAAATAAATTATCAAATTATTGTATAAAAAAAATTTCATAGATTATGTTGTATATGGCAACGCTGATAATGTTATTTTATTGATTGTGGCTACACTGATAGTGTTAATTTATTGATTGATATCACATGAAAACAAAAAATTATACTGACCGCGTTCGTTATCGCCATTGCCGGCTGCATAATATCTCAGAAGCCTTAAAAATCTCTAAAGAAAAGTGAAAACCTACACAATATCCTATCTTCGACTTAAGGATTATAATATAACTGTTTTTTATCCTTCGAAAACAAAACTAAAATTTGTGTTCATTTATTATTCAGTCTGGATCGAGATTAAAATGTTATTGTAATGATAATATGTTAAATTACTAAATATTTATTTAATTACTATTGTATTATTATATTTTGCAAACTAAATGACGTACCTACATAAACATACCTGTCTACTTTTATTAGTTTAAATAGAATATCACTTGACAGTCCAATACAGATACGCTTCGAGCAATGTTAACCGAAATCGGTGTAGCAATTGAAAACAAGGATTTTGAACGAGTCAAAACTCTTGTAGAAACTATCATTGAAAAAGTGAGTTTTTAGTATTGTATTTTCAACTATCTACACGCTTCCACTAAATAAAAATGTATGTTTCCAGCACAAAGACACATTCAGTTTTGATCATTTACATGCCGATAACACGTTCAAACTCCTATGGGAATCGATGTTTTCATGTTTGGCGACCGACAATACGAAAATTACACATAAACAATGTTTAGCCTGCATTCGACTTTTAAGGTAAATATTCATTTTGATGTATTTTTAATCATAATTGCACATAATTAAGTGTCCAAGTGCATTTGTGTCGTCGTTTTCCGCCTAATCACTCCGACATAAATATTTTCGATAGATGTGAGAGAGAGAGAGAGAAAGCTTTTAAGATTATTCAATTAGTACTCCGTATTGATTAAGCTGACGTTTAATTAGTTCATCAATTTTACCACGTACGATAATTATAAATTGGTTAGATATTCTAGAAATGTAATTATTTCAAAATGTTTTATTGTTTCAGTCGCGACAAAACACACCTGAACAAAATAATAACCGAAGAACACGTTAATATCTTACTTCGAAACGCCAACCTTCTTGACGAATCGTCTTGCGTGTTCTTGACGTCAGAAAACAACGATAGTAAGTATAGGTATTTGGTTTTTTTTTTTTTAATTTTTGTCATTTAACAAATGTCGTAGTAATCTTTTTTAAAATATCGGAGCAAGGCATTCGTAACAAAATTATGAACATTTTTTCTCTTACAGTCGTCGTTGAAGGTCTTAAGTGCCTGTGCAATATAGTTTATCAATGCGAGAAGGTCCAACTGCTGTGTTGTGCCAACAATACCGTCAACTGTTTAATATTAAGACTAAGAATATACTTTGAGTGTAACGTTCCGTACGACATTAAGTATTTCGACGTTAGGCTTTTGTTTCTTTTGACAGCGTTCAACAAAGCCATAAGGTAAGATTATATTAACATCTTAGCTTTGTTTGTAATTTTCTATTCGACCAATATTTCAGACTTAAGATCACCGAAGAGCTGCACGGTCTTACGTACCTAATGGAACTATTGGACAATATACTACATAACTCGATCGAAGAAACGTCTAAAACCAAACAACCCGATTTACATGTACGCAGTTTGTATGCGAGAGAATTTCTATAACGTTTAAAGTAATCGTCGTAAAGTATGCTTTTATGGATTTTTATTATAGGCAGAAAACGTTACGCTTAGCTGTGAAGTTTTAAAAGTACTGTTCAATTTGACTGTGAACACAAACTTTGATCGATCGGATGATAATGATGACGATGATGATTATTCAGTTTGGATTAGATTAGTGTCTATATTGCGCGACTTCATCGTGACATCGACGTTCGTTCCTCTCGATCGAGACAACATTGTGAGGTATTCGACCGTGCTCAATGTTGAAATTACTATTTGAGTGATTTAATTTAATTTTTAATATTAAAGCAATGTCGTTAACTTATTGACCAACGTACCAGCCGGTTGCCTGGATCAATTGACGATCAAAAACCATTGGTGTAACGTGGAAGCGTTGAAAGTGATCGTCGATTTTCTCGATGACCGTTTATCCGGCTCTGTAATTATTGTCGTTAAATTAACCGACTTGTATTATGCCCGGCTAAGCAAAAAGTGCCGTAGCTCAACAAAAAAACCAATCGTACACATTTTCTGTAGCTAACTCGTTATTTTTTTCGGTAACGGCAAATTTGCTTAGCGGGGGGCGGTACTGTTAAAGTACTATGTGTTAAAGAGAAATAATTAATTTTTAATATTATTTCAGAACGTTTTGTATGAAAACGTGTCGCCCGTGTTGTTGGTTTTGTTGAACGGATCGAAAGCAATCGCCACGTTTCGCCGTTCGGTCAGACACCGGATTTTGCCACCTCTAAAGGACATTATGAACAGACCCGAACAAGGAAATTCATTGCGTAACAAACTATGCCGTTTGCTTACTACGCCCAACGTCGGCTTACGCGATCTTGTCGCCGAACTTTTATTCGTGTTGTGCAAAGAAAATGGTACGTTAAAATGGTTTTCCCCCTCCCCCCCCCTCCATTTTGTACAAAATCAAATTGAGAATTATTTTGTTTTGCATTTCCAGTCGGCAGAATGATCAAATACACCGGATTCGGTAATGCGGCCGGACTATTTGCTAACCTGGGGTTACTGAACAAAACACCAAATCCGGACTATTCTTCCAACAGCGAAGACAGCGACACCGAAGAGTATCTAAAATACAAAGACCAGTAATGGATGCAAATATACCTTCTTTTCTCGTCGTTTACCATATTATTATGTCTTTTAACAAATACAATTTGTTTAGAATAAATCCCGTTCTCGGCTGTTACGAACCGCCGAAACCCAATCCTTTCGAATGCATGTCGGACGAACAACAGGAACACGAGGTGATGCAGTTGGTTTGTAAAATGGACAAACTCACCAGGTAACAATTATTGTTATTACCCGATAACGCTTGGTCGGTGTAAATTTAATTATTATTATATTCATTTCAGGGAAGGAGTTATACAACCTTGCAAAATCGGTGACGACGGCCGTCCAAAGCCCATTGAACACGTACTGCAACTACAAGAAGAACTACTAAGTCATTTCAACAATGTCAAAAACAAAGACAATCCAAACGACGAAAGCGATTGATGATGAGTCTAATCAACTGTTACGTTAAATTTTCCGATCGTCGGTTCGATAAAAAACATTAGCCAAGAGAATTTGTTCTCAGACAGAAAACAATTCTCAAGTGTTCCTATTAGTAAAAAATATTGACGTTAATAATTCTTTTAGTATTCCAAATCCGTTTAGCCATTTGTAAAATTGTCTAATCTTCTAAATTTTATTTTTTTCACTCAAAAAAGGATATTATAGTTTAGACTCGAGTCGTAAAGCGTTCTACACTTCTCTGTCCCGTATTGTATTTTAGCAAATATAAATCTACCGACGACGACCGATTTATTTTTTTAATAATTTCAACATTTATTTGTTTTGCGGCGTTGTGTTGGCTATCTAGGAATATAACACACTCAGTGTAGACAAACAATACTAATTGTAAGAACGATTATTATAATAATTGCTTTTTGGTTGTATTTGAATTGTATAAGAAGAAATAGGGTAGAGCTACCTTATATCGACACTCCTTTTGAAAACTAACACTTCGGGTTTTTGTTTATCCAAGTTAAAAGAGTTATTTATCGTTCTCCACAACGTAATCAAAATTAAACTGCGAAACAGTATAATGTATACATATAATGTGGTACACAATACAACGGTAGATATTGTTTCGTTTGTTAAATATTAAATGACTTCTTTGTGTATTGAAAATAAATAAAAATTAGTTGGATAAAACTATGTAATTTTTATTGTTATACTTTGATGCTTTTTCAGCATAGTGTGTAGCGGAGAAGGTTAAACCGTGAATTGAAATGTTAACAAGCCCAAAAAAAAGTACTATTTCTGGTGTCACTCGGTCAAGCAATCGTAATATCATACTATTATAATTAATAAATAATTTAAATGTGGTTTTGAAACGTCTCCGATGGCAAGTTTCAACAGTAATACTTGCAATATCTCTAATTGTTGGTTAATGTGAATGTTAAATACTATAAAAAATGATTAATATTTTTAAAAATGTATTTAACGTATTATATTATTATTATTTACAAACTAAGAACACTAAAAATGCCATGAAAAAAGAGAAATTAAATTTTCGAATCGTCCTTGTGCTCTTCCGACAAATTCTGTTGATCGTCGAATTGTAAATTGTCGACGAGCGGCCAATTTTCATTAGTTTTGGACGCACGATAATTGTATTTCAAATAGTCTGGTGTACTTTTGCATATGTCCACGTAAGCACTGCACAAACGGCCGAATTCGCTGACGGTTAGTTGAAAAGGTCTCGTGTCCGACTCTATACCGGCGGCAATTAACATCTCTGTAGAAAGTTTTTCCCTGACCGGTCTCGGAAATAAAGTCCTGTTGAACGACGCAAACGTTAAAACAAAATACACATACGCAGGCTAATCGATGATTATTATTATCGACAAACTCACTCCACTCCTCGGATGCAATACTTCTGCCTGTAGTTGAACACGCACCTTACGACTTTTTCTACAACGTCGAACGGCAGTGGAATGACAGGATTTTTCACGGGGATCAAACGAACGACGCCAACGTCGACTTCGGGCTTCGGTACAAACGCTCGACCTTTTGACCGTGACAAAAGTTACCGGGTGAGTTATAAAAAAACATTTTAATGTCTCAATGTGTCTTACCCGGAATAGTGAATTTATGCTCCACCCGGCACCAGTTTTGACACATAATCGACAGCCTACACCTTTCTTTCGACATGATCGGAGCGGCCATTCTTTCGGCAACTTCTTTCTGAAACGTCAGCGTCATACGCACTCGACCGTACCGCCACGCGTTGTTTCTAAAACAAATAAATAATTTATTTTTAAAACAAATAAGTACAGTAAAATGTGTAAGACAGAAACAAAGACGTTCTTCTTTTTCCTACCTCGAAGCTATAGCGTTTAACCAGCGAATGATAAGCGGCGTCGATACGTTAAAAGGCAAATTCCCTATCAGGTGTATCGGAGGACATACGTCTTCCCATTCTCTTAGATTGGCCTCGTTAAACGTTTTTTCCATATTGAAGTTCATGACGTCGCCAAACGTTAATTCCAACGGTATCGGAGACGATTCGGCCAATAGCTAGAGAGAATAAAAAAAAACGTGTAAGACCTTTCGGCGTGACGATAATTGAACGCAAAAGTTGTACTACTTCCAAAGACGGCGTAAATCGTCTGTCTTTTTCGATGACCACCACTCGAGAAGGCGTTCTTTGAATGATCGACCTTGTTATGTTGCCAGGACCGGGACCGACTTCGCAGACTTCGCCGTCTTTGATTGGTCCCGCTGCTTTCACTATTCGATCGGTCAATCGTGGATCCATTAGAAAATTTTGAGACAATTCTTTCATGGCGCGTAACTTGTATAACTTAATTAAATCCCTTATGCTAGGCAACGGGGGCAAACGGACTACTCGACTGGTTGCCATTTTGTGTGGTTTAGGCAAATTTATTGTGTGTTGGTCGTCACTTCGGGTTCGTCGAAATCGTCCAAAAACGATTCCTGCTTGATCGAGTATATACTAAACCCGTAGATACCCAAAGCGATGCCGCCCAATAGAAATCCCGTGTATCGGGCGTTTTTGCGCATGCGGTTCAATCGGGTGACGCGTACGAGGTTTTGGCGTTCGACGAATTTGATCTGTTGCAATAATCTTCTGTCGATTTCTCCGTCTTTCACAAAATCAACTTCGGGCATCTGATCATTTTTAGCCATATCAAATTGAAGTAACCAGTGCGTCAACCAATTAACTAAAAAAAAATAAAAGCAATATTTTCGTTGTAGACAAACATTTCCAAATACTATACTAGTCACTCTGAGCAACAGTGACAAGTAGGGTTGGGGTGTTATAGGATTGATTACTTTTAAAACAATTACTATTACGTCTTATATAAGTCTTACAACTCTAAGCAAATATACTATCAACGTACATAAAACGGAACGGATTATATTGGGCTTGGTCCTCCGAACATACGACTACTTATTGAATTATTTTTACTTATTTCAATTTAAAAAAAAAGAAAAAAGGTATTACACAATAGATGATAATTATAATGCCTTCTTTCTGTCCTATCCAACACGTGTTGATAAGTTGAGTCAAACGTTTCGTGCGAATTTAAAAAAAGTGTTACAATTAATCAATGGTTACTACAAGAAAGTACTCACCTAAAAATGTATTTTACTATTTTTTCAGGTAATCAGCACCGACTCAACGTTTAGCCAAACACTTTAAAGGCAAAAGCAAGATGCAAAATCACAAATTATATTATGATATTAGTCCATGTTGTGAAAATATTTTGATAACGCGGTAAACTGATAAGAGCCCGGTATTGTACGGTAGTTTTATCGCGACAGTGTCGCCAACTTGATTTTTATTATCCGCGAATTATCGCGGCAAAATATTATGTTCAACTGTGATGCGGAAAGCGGAAAGGTACCTCTTTTGTAGTAATTTTCCATTAATATTGAGTTGCCGATATATTCTCAATATTGACAAAATTCTATAACCGGTAAAGGTTTTGTAGATAAAACAATGACTTAGTTATTGCACTTTGTAGTCGACTACCGGATATGTTCGTTTGATCCGTTTATACTAACTACCAACTAGTAATTTACAAGGTGTTCAATTAATACTTGTGTCTACTCCTCGCATTAGTAACTCATAAAACATAAATAAAACGATAATGTACCTACCTAATATGTACGTCAACACCGAATAATGCCCGTCTCATTTTCGATCAATTTTACACAAGAACAAAAAACACGGTTACAATATTTTATTACATTTTGTGACATTATTATCTTGTCATTAATTATTCGATAGCTGTGTTATATTATATAATTTTAAGTTTATCGTAAATCCGAGCACTCCAATCGAGTCCGTGCAAAATTTCCAATAAAACAGTGTTGCCAACTCAATTGGGCAACCAAAAAAAAATAGATATTCGGTTTAGCCGCCAACGTGGTGACCGTTTTAATTGTTTAATTGATACAACGTTAGTGTTTTAACCAAATACAACACGATTAGTTTAATTTTTGCCACCTTTAAGATACTTTTTCAATGGTTTGACAAAACCACTAATCGTAGGATGTTCTTATTCTTAGTTTGTACTCAAATCATTCATACACTTGTATAATATGTTTATTAAATATCAACACCGAGTACAATTTGATTTGGCACACACTGCGACACGGTAAAATTCGTTTAAAATATATTAAGTAAATAAAAAAAAAGTAATAATACACAAATAGTTATAATATATATATATATTTATAAATTGATTACAAAAAAAAAAAAACAAACAAAAGAAACGCGTTAGCGATAATAAATGGTAATATTTAAATCAGCAAAAAAACGTTGATTAATACTAATGATTATTACAATAATTAATTTTATCGTTATTATTGAGCAAGTTTAACCGAGCGGACAACGCTTAATAATAATTAGGAAACATTTTTTTTTTTTTTTTTTATATAGGCAATCCTAAACACATCAGGTTTGTATAAGGTAGCAGTCGATAAAATATATAAATACCTAATTATATATAAAAAAAAAAAAAAATGAAAAATATTACAGAGTCACTCTGGCTAATGCGGCTTCTTAACTCAATGTGTACACGAATGATAATATTATCCAACTGTAAAAAGTTTGAATTTAATTTTATAAAAATATATGATATACATCTAATAGTTTAATATACATTAACGTTGGCACTTAACACGAGCGTAGTAATTATAATATCATACTTGGACTAGATAAAAAAAAATATATATTTATAGTTATAATACTCAAAAATATCATGTAGATTATTTTCTACATGAACGAACACATCCTTAAGTGTAACAATCCTCTAAATATGTAATAATATTTTCTATGTACGTTCGGGGGGAGCAGGTTTGGCGATACAACATAGAGGTACATTTTTGATTTGCTTTTGCCATTGTATCATACTACTTAAACGTAGCTCTCTTGTTTCGACGAGTACAAAAGAAACGAGTCCAACAGTCTTGGCTCCACCAGCTCGGCGGCGTCGTACTGGTTTATCACTTCTTTTCCACAGTTGGCAGCAAGTTTCCTCAGCGAAGCCTGAAAAACGGCATAACAGTGTTGCTTTAACGCTTAAGATGTTAAGAAACGAGTCGGGGGGGGGGGAGAAGATTTAGTGGGAATAGCAGGGCACAGCAGCTAAATTCGGGAAATAGATGGATGGATAGAGATTCCTGTACACACTTACCAGACAAGCCACTAGGACTCCATCGCTGTGATTGCGCTCGCGTTCTTCTTTGCACAACCTCACCAAACGGTTGACCCCTTCCAACTCGACCACTTGTTTCGACACTTGGACGTCGCTGCACAATCTGTGTGCACATTTTATGGAATATACGTTAAAAAAACGTGAGTCATGTTAGTAAGACTTAATAAATAATACACGGTGTCCCGAAAAGAAAGCTCGAACGAAAGAGTCTAGACACATCTCTAGTGGCAGTCGTTCGAAACTTGACACGCCCCTATTTCATTCAAGCCCAAACCAGAGCCTTGACAACCTACGGCCGTTTGAAACCCCACCATTCGGGATGCTCCGTGGGTACACAATAAATGGTATTCATTATTTTTTTTAATTTAAAAATTATTTCAAATAGAACTCGTATCTCGTTAAAAAAAATTCTTGTGAAAAAACTAATAGCAGATTTGAAATCGGGAGAACAAATCCTGTTGAATTGATATGTAACATGATTTTTTGGTATCTGCCCGCACTTGCGTCCACCGAGTGGCCACCGAGTGGCCGGCGTGTGACCAAAACCAACATACGGCATGTGACATATCAATTCAACAAGATTTTTTCTCTCGATTTCAAATCTGAAATTATTTTTTTTCGTAAGACCATTTTTTTTATGAGACACGAGTTCTATTTTAAATAATTTTTTAATTTGAAAAAAATCAATACCATTTATTGTGTACCCACGAAGCACGCTGAATGTTGTCTCGTTTGAAGCTCGGTAGAACCTTTCGTTACACGTCTGTATATTCTGTGCATCTTTTCTGTACCTGGACAAGGCTATGGCGGTCTTGTGCTGAAGCCTTTCGGCGGCCAATATCTCGGGAACGCGTTGCAGCGGCGAGTGCCTGACTTGCAGGAAGCACAGCAACGCCACGACCGCGTGGTTTTCGGCCATATGAGGCCAAGTCTCGGGCACAGCCGCCATGTTGGCCAACAGCGTGGCCGTCTGCTCCTGTAGGAACACCGAAGCACGCGTGCCACACTTCCGGACGGCTTCGATCAGCGACCCGGCCGTGCCCATGTTCAAGATGGTCCAGACGGCGCTCGTCTCCATGATGGTTATGTTGGCGAGGGCCGCGGCCGACAGCAGCAGCGTTTCCATGGATTTAGTCGTCTCTATCAGACCTGTAAAATAATAATACCGCACAATTGGATCAATAGCGTTTTCGAGGCGTCGTGTCACTTGTTACTCTTACAGGTCAACGACGAAACGACGGTGTGCAAATGTCCGGTTAGGCCGTCGACCACGTGGTTGTCTTCGATCCAAGGGGCCGTGATCTGAGCCAGTACCGATACGGCGTCGGCGAGCTCTTTTTCCAAACGGTTCTTGCTGCTCAACACGTCGGCTAGGATTTCCACGCCACCGGCCTGCGGTTTTAGAGTCGAGTGTTATGTATATTATTTTAATTGTCAGTCGTGAACACCTTTACATACCTTTTCGAATTGCCTGACGCTGTCGGCCGAGCAGCAGACCATGGCTAACGTGCGCATAGCTGCTGACCTGACCGTGCCGGACGCGGCCTCTATGCAGACGGTCAACAGCGCCCGGATCCCGTTGCATTTGGTCACCAGACTGCCCAGGTGAACGCTGTCCAACCCCAGACTGTTGATACTGGACATGGCTTTGACGAGCTCCACGTCGGTGCTCGGTTCTTCCAGGATGTCTATCAAGTGCTGTCGCGGAACAAACATTGGTAAGTATTTGTAAGTATGTAAAAGGTGTCATGTGGTCGTGTGGTCCTTACCTGCACTTTCTTGGTCAACAGCGCGTCCACGAGCTCGCTGAATATTTGCCCCAGAGCCGACACGTCGTTCAAGATGATTTTCCTGTTTCCAAGACGGCGGTTGGCGTGGATCCGCAGTCTCTCGGTCACGTCCACCAAGTCCATGCACAACTCCTGTCCTTGTCCCGACAGCTCGTTTTCGTGATCGCACACAAAGTCCAACAGCAGCGTGGTCAACATCAGCACGGACGGACCGAAGCTGTCTTGTCGGCAGCAATTCAAATCGCTGTAATGATTAAGACACGTTGAGGACCATTGCCAATAATTGATACACCCTGCGACGACGTACCTGTAGACTTTTTTGAATTCGTCGGATATGATTTTGGTACGTTGGTAAAGTTCTCGCACTACTTCCGAGTCCGTGCAAATGAACGTGGACAGGCGACAAGCGTCTTCTGACGGTGCTATGGATTTCGATTGCAAAGCGGTCATGCATTCGGGTTCGCATCTAAATCTCAATTCGTTCAGCCATTGGCCGACCGGCACTTCGTTTTCGCGATTCACTCTGAAACATGACAGCAGTACAGTTACGATAAGCACACAATTTTGTCTGAATTTTTGGTCTAAAATAAACCAAAATGGCTTTTACTCGTAGAAAAAATTATTTAAATTAAAGTGAATACCTCGAAGCTTATATATAACCGGTAAACTAATTGACACGGTCGAAATTTTTCTTGAATATTGCCTATACAAAACCCCTTAAAAATAGACCGCATGCAACCCCTTAACCGAACTCGAGATGTGACCCAAATACTTTGGGTCTCCAGTTTGGCAATTGTAAAAGTTATGAGTATTTTTGCCGTTATCGTTCGAACTTATCTTAACGTTAGAGGTATGTTTTCTGGTTATGCTGTCATCGTTTTGAGGAAGTCTTTTATGTCAACGATTTGATAGTGGTTTTTTTTAATTAACGTTTGCTTACATTATTTTTATTGAGCCACGAATAAATATCAGTCGTACATTGCGTTTGATGAACAATCAAATTTTAGAAATCAAAAGCAGATTAGTTTCCCATTCTACCCTGTTATGGAGATAAGAGGGTGGATCCATCCCCTTCAAACAACTGCTGAATAGAAGAAAATACACAACCTAGGGGTAGTAACCTACCTCGCGTAACTGTCGTTGTGTTGGGTTTTCGGTTTCTTCAGCTGCAGCAATTGTCTCTTGCAATGCAGCCTGGGCGTGCAACATCTGCCTTTGGTCGATTTCGGGGTGGACGTGTGCTCCGGTGTGGCCGGCCTTTCCGCGTCGCTGAGGCCTTCGCCCTCGCCGTCTTCGCTACAGCTGCTGTCCCTCCGCAGCCGATCGACAAACGGCGTGGGCGGTTCGATGATGAGATCGTCGTGCTGGTCGGCGCCGGCCACGACGTTTTCCACCACGGTAACGTTTTCCGACCGGTCGAAATTGCCGTCGAAGCTTTTCGCCGAGCTCGGCGTCGACGGGACATTGCAGCCGGCGGTCGCGCCGTTTTTCGGTAACTCGTCCACGATGAAACACGTCCGGTTCGGCGTGTGAGGCGCCGGCGCCGGTTCTTCCGGTGCGGCCGCCGACCGTTTGGCAGGTTTGAACGGCGAAGCCGCCGCCACGTCGGCGGAGGACGCTTCCGGCTTGAACGTCCGGAACTTCCTGGACAGCTCGCAGGCCGGCAGAAAACAGTTGCAGTGTTCGTGCTGCTGCTGCGCCTGCGGTTCCGCCGGCATCTCGACGAACAGGTGGACGGCCGCCGCGGACGACTCGTCCGCGGTCCGGCGGTCGTGGTCACCGCCGCCGTTGGCTTTGGACGAGCCCAGCGGACTGCTCTCGGAGTCGGAAAACCCAGAGTCCTGCGACTTGTGACTGCCGTTGCTCGGACTGCCCGACGACACCCGTCTGCTCTCCGGCGACGACGACGGCTGCCGGCGCCACGAATGGTGCATGTCGTCGTCGTCGTCGTCCAGGTTGGGCACGAACCAAACCTTACTCCGGGTTCTCTGGAAATCGCCCATGTCTCTGCCTCGCCGTTCGTTCACTCCGTCTGAAACACACGATACGGCTTATGGTTAGGTTAGGTTAGGTTAGGTTAAACATCGAGTAAGAAAATTGAGGCGTTGGAAATGTGGCTGCTATACCGCCGTATCCTAAATATCTCATGGACAGATCGAGTATCCAACGTGTGTGTACTACAAAAGAATGCAAAAGAAAAGGAATTACTGAAGACTATAAAAAACACGGAAATTAGAATACCTGGGTCACATAATGAGAAATAACCAAAGATATGGATTGCTGCAACTTATAATTCAAGGAAAAATAGAAGGCAAGAAAAGTGTTGGTAGACGAAGGATATCTAGGAAAACTGGATTAACAATTGATATTCATCGTTAAAGAAGAGCAATATTAGATATGGTCACGTAACGGATAGGACTTCAAGAAGAGAATTAGTTTACAACATTAGTTAACATCATGGTACAATGGCAATTTATTGGGTAGGACGTATTCTGAAAGGTTTAACAGTGTATATTGATAGTTAGATCAAGCCAAAAGAATGTATTATGTAATATATTATTGACGTTGACATAGATTTGCATGTAAATCAGACAACAACATTTAGTTAATTCAATCTAAAATCCAAATAATTTACATTATTTTCCAAATTTAAATTAGACGGCGTTCTATACATTTTTTAAAAATTATTTATTTTAACCATAGTAATACCGATAAACATTGAGAAACCAAAAATCATCATAAACTCTACCTAGGTTTAATATTACTTATAATCATTTTTTTTTTCAAAAAGTAATTTGTGTTTTATTCATTAGGCACAATTTTTGGTTACATTGGACAAATTTGGGAGTGCTACCGCTATGTTTTTCAAAATGGATGGGCCGGAAAAATCAAAAACGGTCTACATTTAAGAATACTCTAAAGGATAGTCTATGTTTTGAAGACACAGTCCACAAGTTTTCTTTGAGACGTTGGCCCTAATCACTTTTGCGCGTGCAGTTCAATGCCATAAATCATAATATAGGTAGTGTATTCACTGTAAATAATCAAATACTTACAACAATTATATGGCAACGGACTAATTAGCCATTGACGACCCGTCACTAGCTGTCCGTTACTTTTCACTGTACACAATTATTATCCGAATGGAAATTAGTCGATACTTATAAAGTATCAAAGTTAAAAACGCCCACGGGGAATGTGGTGTTACGGGAGTCCATTACACCGCGCCTAATGTGCTGTCCGTCACGGCTCGTGTTGTGCATCAAGGTGTGTATTTATTTTATCTTTGGTATACTTAGGCCGCGTTCGTAACAGACCGTTAATCGCACACTAGTGCACTATAGATATCCGATAACGTGCGTTGTAAAATATACACCTACTTCTCATTTGGAAGGTCGTTATTGCAACGATGACGATGACCACCACAAAGCACGCGACCGGTGTATGACCCTTTTTATCGCAGTAATAACATTATGTGTTTTGAGACGGAGGCGCCTAACTAACGGTCTCGCCGCTACTATCAGCTCTAGACGAATGATATTATTAACCGGGAAGTCTTTATACAATAATGGGTTGACCCACCCGACAAGGCTATTTTAGGTGAAGTTTTAGGTCTTGAAAACTAGACCTAAGGCCGATCTGGAATGTGCCGCCACTTGGTCCACTGAGGAGGGGTGGGTAGACATTTGTTCTTGTTTTCGGTTGTTTTAGGGCTTCATGTCTGAAAGTTAGATCTAAAATCTAATCTAACCTCACCTAACTGGAGCGTTTAGCCGAAAGTCATTATTTCAGTTGTAATAATTATTCATGTAGACCACCCGTGCCGGCTTTATTTTCATTACGGTAAATACTACACAATACCGGTTTAGGGGCTAGCTCTTGTCGCATTAGTTCTTCTATGGATATAAGTCACGTAAAACACGTTCTTAACGCCTTAACACCGTACACAACGTGGACATTGTCTGAGGGAAACTCGGTGATCGGACAAGTGAATTTTCTTCTTCTTTGGACTTCCTCGACCCACAGCGAGAGAGAACTGGACCATTGACCATTGCGTGCGCGCGCTCATTTGTTATAAATATTTCTTATATATAAATATATATATATATATAGCCTACGGACACTACTATAACCGTGACCCGTTTCAAGAAAGTAATAACATCCAAGTGAACTCGATCTCCGACGCGGTGTCACCCTGGCGGTGGTGGTGGTGGTGGTTGGTCTCACAGACGATTGTTATTTAGTCACGGCTATAATATACAGACTAATCTATATGGTTTATATTGTTCGACATTCTATACAACACATTATCGGTCACGCCCGCACAAAATATCCCCGGCGACGACAACAAATAGGACTTAACGTTAACCGGCCTGGCATTATATTGTTTCCACGTCTAGTTTAGGTACCTTAGATAAAAAATACAATCATCTAAGACGTTCATATATTTTCATATCCAATACCGTACGGGGAACCCGTGTAATCGCCTAAAGAATCTAATAATTAGCGGGCAGCATTTTTTTTTTTTTTTACTTTGGTTGAATAATGTGCTTAAAATTGTTTTTTTTTTTGTGTGTTAGGGTGGATACGATTGGGGTAGTTTACCTGTCTCTAATAATTTACTGCCACAGTTGTTCCTTACCGTTAAATCGTTTATAACGTTATAATAAATATATTTTCCAATACTTGTTGACTCTTGATTCACTCAAACAAAGCGACTTGAACATTTACTACGACCAAAGTGTAATTCTTCCTTAATAAAAAAAAAGTTTGACCTCAGATTTTTTTTGAGAAAATTGTATATGTTATAGTTTCATTCTACATCTACCTTTGGTCTAATTATTAGACATTAAGTCCCGACAATTTGCTTGAAAAAGTGAAAAATAAAGAAAACATTTCTATCCTTTATGCTATTTTTATCATTTTTTTCATATAGACATGTCTTATGGCTTGGGGTGATTCTGGAAATAAACCTTAAAAGTATCCACACTTCGTGCAGATACATCAAGTTGCAGGATATAAGGATATAACCATATATATAAGAATAGTCTGAAATCTGATCATTCTAAGCAGCGGTAATTTTGTCAGGCTTTTAGGTGTAAAATAAACCGAAATTGCATTTCACTTTTTACCATTAATTGACATGATATTGTCTTTGGAAAACTCCTCAACAACGGAGCTCGCTTCTGATCCTCTTAATACAATATTATGTGTGCCCATGATGTTTGCCATGTTGTTTGTTCACATAATAACATCATTATCACGTGTATATGTATATATATTTTTTTTTTGTAACAAATACTACAGATATGATTGCGTTGGTATACCTACCGTTAGCCACGGTTAATGTTCATTCATTATATATTATTATTGCGTTGTTACCTTTTGTACAATACTACACAATACCTACACCAATAAGATTAATGGCCGTATTATGGATACTTTAGAGTCTGATAATAATACACTATGTTTCCTACTCGAATAACGCATGTCGAAAATTAAGCGCTATAATAAATATCGTACCACAATAATACCGTGTGCTGTAATAAAATCCAAAATTTACTATTCTGCATTGGACTTACAAAATAAATAATGAAATACACGTGTTGCCCGTACGCACGATTTACATAAATATACACTAATCGTTAAAAATCATATACACGGTGATCGTTTTAACATACTACACTAGTTTACACTTGAAATAATCCCAATTTTGTAATTTATTACAATATTAGCCAGTATTCCGGTTTTTATCGTTTTGCAGTTATTTTCTAAAGCTATATCAACTTGATAGCATATTTTATACATTGAATTGATTGTTTAAATTAAGAATAATTTTCACTGATTTACCATATTTGAATAATTATTTTTGAAGTTATTAAAATAAAATAGAAATTAAGGATGACACGTGGAGTGCGGTTGAGTAGTGAGTGCAGGCAAGGGCATGTGTTGTCCGTGGCAACCAACGGCAGCACAAAAAAGGCACCAACCCAGTTTGAAATGTACACATTTCATGTAAAATTATCTCAGCTTTTTGGAAAAAAATTAGAAAAATTCTCAAATTTTGTGCAACACTAAAAAAACCAACTTTTCAGATTATAAACTCGACCTTGTAGTCTTTCTGTTACTCGAAAAAACAAATCAATATTTTTTTTCAGAAAGCTGAGATTATTTTTCTGGAGAAACTGGTTTTTAGTAAATTTTTTTTTGTTATGGTAAAAATACTTTTTACGACCATGGCCAAAACAATGGAATAAAAATTTGGGAACTTTCTTTTAGACAAAGTTATCTTTAGTTTGATAAAGCTCTAGCAAATAGTAAAAAAAAAAAAGAAGATAATACCATGAATATTGCCTAATATATTGTAATACAACAAAGCTACAAAATAGGGCGTATGAAGAATCATCAGGTACCTATAGTAGCATAGGAAAACTTAGTATTATATTGTATTGAAACACCTACTGTTATTTTTTTCGTCCTTCTTACACCGAAGGGTTACAACTTACCCGCATCAAACCGTTGCCAGAAAAACTGTACCTACATATACTGCGTCGTCTCCGGACGATGATGATAATAATGTTATAATAATAATATGTACATGCACGGCCGTTCACATTGTCCTACCGTTGTGTTTTATACCGATTGGTTACGTACGGTCTGTCGCACTGAAGAAGAAGAAGAAGAAGAACAATAATGTTTTTATACATGCCCGTGGATCGTGGTCATGTTGTATACGTTGTGCATTGCACCGGTACCCGAGACCGTCTAGGAGGTGTGTATAGCTGGTCGGTATACCGGCTAAGATGCTCTCAATAATAATATTATGTACGGGGCGGCACAGCGTGATACCCAAGACTTTTGGGGTCCGTCAGGCCGACCTCTGAGCTCACAAGAGTATTTTCCAATTAGACCACATTATGTGTAGGTATACACGTACAAAGATTCGGTCCAAAACAAAAGAAAAAGCAATCTGTGGCCGATAAAAAAAACGCCAAACAATTTTTTTAATAAACTCTTACCGCGGCGCGCGCA